GTGTTATTTCGGGGGGGGGGGCCCTTTTCGCTCTTTTCTTCCCGGCAGGAAGTCCCCACCAAAGGTCCCCGGTTTTTTTTGGTCCCGGCGAAAAATTTTTTTGGGTTTTTTCTGCCCCCTTTCCCCCTTCTGGTCTCAAGAGGGGGGTTTTTGCCCCCCCCCCCCCAAAGGCCTTGGCCCGGGGGGGAAGTCAAAAAAAAATCTTTTTGGGGGCAAAAAATCGGTTGGGGTTTTTTTTTGGCCCCCCCCCTTTCGGGGTTTGGACCGGGGTCTTCGCCCCCCCCCCCCCCCCCCCCACCTTGCTCTGCCCTTGACGGGCGGCGAAGTCGATGTAGTGGAGCCAGATGTCCACGTCCCCGGGAAACTTCATCACGGCGCGGTCGAAGATCCACCGCACCAGGCGCACGCAGCAGAAGTCGGCCGTGGCGGCCTTCCCCTTCTTGGTCTTCTTCTTGTTGCGCTGCTGGCCGCCGCTGGCGCCGCCCTCGATCCGTCTCGTGCGCAGGGCGCGCAGGGACTCGAGGTTGAGCTCGTACTCGACGTAGCGCATGAAGTCCAGGCGACGGGCCTCGTGCCGCCGAAGCATGTACTCGAAGCCCTTTCTCCTGGAGACGATGGCGCGGACCTCGGCCTGCGCCGGTTGGGGGTGGGTGGGTTGGTGGGTGGATAAGACGCGTGTGGTGGCCAGACTGAAAACACTTGTATGCCGTCGGGTTTCGTTTCCGGGAGAGAACGGGTGATCGCTGCTCTCGGGCCGTGTATGTATAAAGATGGTGTGGAATTCGGTAGCGTGCTCTGTGCAACACGACAGCGACAACAGCCCACACGCTCTGGGGGAAGTAAGGGGTGCAGAGGTTTTCCTCAGGCAACAGGTTGCGTGCCGTGTGCTACCTGGGAGAGGCGCATGTTTCGTTCTTTTACTTCTCCGACTGCCGTCCAAAACAATGTGCAGCGTCGGCACCAAAGCAGGAGGGTGGTCTCCAGATGAATCACCGCCCTCTCCCAATAAAGGTGAACGGTACGGGTGAGAGGGTCACGAGGTTGGGCCAAGGGACACAAACAGCACGTCAAACACCCAGGGTTCACACAAGAGCGTAAGTATCACGGAGAGCCACCGTACTGTAGTGTACAGTTTTATTCATCGTGTCTTATTCTTGTCTACAACTGCCGCCGACTATCGCAAACGGCATCGTGCAGTTCGGCACACATGTACACACATCGTTGCGTCGAAGTTCCTCGCGGACATGTCCGTGCGGTATTCGTACCGTGCTGCTTTTCTCGAGGTGCAGCTGTCTGGGTTGCTGTCTGTGAGGAAGCTCTGCTAACCCCTGCAACGCTTTGGGCTGGCTGCCCGTGCATTGACGTTGCCATCGAGCATGTCCAATCCAAACTAATAACCAAGAGGGGTCCACAGCGGTACGATCATGTTCACCCACGCCAAGCCAAGGGGTATTCAACCCCGCGCGAACTAGAGGCAGGCGGCAGCAATTGTAGTAGACTACCCTCGTGCTTTGTTGCAGCAGCAGCGGTAGACATTATTCACCAGCATGACGCATGGATGAGGGCCAGAGTACGGCTGTCGGACTGGAAGCAGGCACGGTTTTTGCAGGCAGAAACGACACATCTCTGTAGACATCTCGGGCGAGCGGGAGGCTGAGAGAGAGAAACACACAGAGAGAGAGGCAGTCCTCAACAATGGCAGCTCCTCGGTGGCCGCACCTGTGTCTTCAGCATACGCTGTTATTGGCGTCCGGTTTAAAAACGAAAAGAGGGTTTTGCCTGTCCTACACACTACTCAACGAGCACTGAAATCGTTTCACCGGCCCCATTCTCTGCCCTAGAAATCGTAACGGAGCCCACGGCACAGAAGTGCTGTGCCCTCTCCCTCTGTGGAGGCAAACGAGTCATGTCCAGTCACACCACACAGCAGCCGGCGAGTTCATCTCCGATTCCTCCCTCACCTCCGAGAATATCCCTCGACATCTCAGGTCCTCCAGATCTACGACCATGCGATCGAGGGCATACTGCACGCTGTCCGCCATGATGCTCCTCAAGCTGTCAACACCAGGCGGGCAACCGTCGTAGTCCTCCTGTACTGCTGTCCTGATCACCGCAAGCACCAAGCAGCGTGATCTGAACCCAGAAATCTCGCCGCATGTCAAGGGCCAACAACGGAGAGGTGGGTATGGCCCCGTTCCGCGAGTTTCGACCGCGTACCCCCCCCTTCACTCTTTCTCAGTTCTCTTGCTCCTCCTGTGACTCCCTTTGGCTGCTGGTGTGATGCGGCGAGGAATGATAAGCGGGACCGAGCGAGATAAGTCAAGTTAGGGTAAAGTGGAGAGTTGGGCGAGCCTTCGTGGACCCATCCCAACCTCCTAAGATTCATCAACCACTCATTCGCACCTGTTGAGCATCAATCAAAAGATACGATCTTTGAAGAACAGGGAATATACACATATTACACATGTACGCCCATCACCAATCTACGCTCATATAATGCGTGTCTGCACTTGTAGAATACCTGACCTCCACACACCCCCCCTTTTTCTTAGCCGAAAGCTCAGCTTGTTGAGTTGGGGTTTTGGTTCATTTGTTTGAAGTACATATGTACATATATGATGCTGCGTGCCTAAAACTATTTATAATAAAATAATAGATGCCCGCAAGGAAGGAAAAAAAGTGTGAGGTCTTCTTCTTGCTCATTTTAGGGACCGCGGCTCGAAAACAGCTTACCACCTCTTAGGAACAAAGCCATGAATGATCGATATGTGACCGCCCCTGTGCTCAGCCCTGCTTTCGCGGTGAACTAGCATGCTTTCATCTCCTCATCTGGCGCACACGCACTTCTTCTCGATCGATGAAGGCGGTGCCTCGGTCGAGAAAAGCACCGCACCAAACACGCACACGTCCCACCTGTTACCGTAGTAGTGCTGAGTGCTAACTGCCCCAACCCCGCAAACTCGGAATATTTGGCAAGCCCTTATCGATTGTAGCCTTTCCATTAGACTTCGACGGTCAGCGCTGAGTCTACTTGTATGTATGTAGTGGGTGTATCCCCAAAACCAAAAACCAATAAACACCCGCCAACCCAAAACACGCCCAACAAGAAAACACCAAATACACCCAACCTATGTATGCAGATTTGTCTCTTATATCCTTTGCTGCCACCATTATGCGGTGCCCTGTACGGATCGCCTAATTTCCGTGCTGAACAACAGACCTCGCTCTCAGCAGAGAAACTTCCGTGTCTTGCCCCTCACAGAAAACCAGACTCCGGGATACCTCTGTGTACAAGAGGCATGTCGAATGGATGGACCTGTGCTCCGAGATAGGGAGGAACCCTCCGAACGACTGGAACCCCATCCCTCTAACAGATGGGGAAGATGACGTGCTCCGGCCACGCCGGAGAAGACAGTTATTCTTGGGATGAGGTATGGTTCATCCTTGGGATGAATCGTTGAAAGAAGCAGCCGCTGGAGGTCGCTTGGGCGTCCTCCGATGGGCACGAGAGCTAAGGTTGCCCATGGGTCAAAGGGGAGTTGCAGGGGTTTGACAGCCGATGTTAAACAGCCCGAAAATGTTGTCCATCCGGGAAAATGATCCATCATATAGAGGACGGATACAACCCCAGAGACCGTAAAAGGGTAGCGCTACGGCTGGAGAGTGGCAGGTTAGATTTGGACGTCCGAAGCTCTACCATAGGCAAAAGCCAATAGCGTTCGAGAAACATCGGGGAATTCGTTCGCGCTCCTTTGTGGGGGTCGAGTACCACGGTTGACGATGCGCACCCAAGGGTACCAGGGTACCACCCCGTAGGAATTTAGCGTATGGTACAAGGTCATTGCGATATTCGCGCTTGTATCCAAATGGCCCATATTCTTTGAACAGACGTGATAGTCAATTACCACCCACGCCGTAGCATTCAACTGTTTGTTTACAACTCCCCAGCTGCGTTGCATTTCAGGAGAGTGCTACAGGTGTGAAATGGGGTACGTCCAAGAATTATTTGCGTGGCTTTGTCTTGGGGGAGATTTTGTTTGAAGGTCGCCTGGGCGACCGTCGTGGTTGCTCCATGTTTCCCTCACGGACCGAGACGTTCACAGCCACGGCGGAGACAGTGGCAGAGGGCTAGACTCTACCGACAGTCAGCAGGCGGATGGATTGTACATGGCTGGCCGACGTCCAGTAGGCAGCGACAAAAGCAGTGGTGTTTCCCTTGCGTTTGGACGACTGGTCGTGTACTGACTCTGGCCGTTGTCGACACTGATGAACAAACGGTGTGATCTTCTTTGCGGAAAAGCATTTGTCAATCGAACGGTATGAATTACCTTCACTGGGAACGTTCGCCCTTCAACACCCCCGCACCAAAGGAAGAGCAACAGCAACTAGCGGATCCTGACACACAAGACACACCCCAACACATCACTACCTCGTGCCTCTGGTGCAGTTGGACTAAAGCCACAATCGGCAGGGACAGAACATGAATGATGACGAATTAGAGTGTACCGAACCCCCCTGCACTCTCGAGCCGTCGACCTTACCCCCTGAAACGGAAAAATTCACACGGCAACAATATTCTCGTCGACTTACCACCACAACGGAGTATCATCTATCACGAAAATGGACGGTTGATTGGTACGGGGCGGCGTCGAACCCTCGCAGTCCCCCCCCCCCTGCGGCGGCGGCGGCGGTACCCCCGCCGCCGGCACCGAACGTCCGCCGACGCGAAACCACCCTGCCGGGGACCGCCCGGCCGCCGCTCCCTTTGCCGCGCTCGCCGTTGCCCTTATCGTTGCCGTACGAGGCGGCGGCGGCAACAACTGCCACTCGCATCGCCCGCCCAGCGGCGGTCGTCGGTGCCGGCCCAACCGCTTCGGGCGAGACTTGCCCAGATGACGAGGGTCCCTCGTGGGCAGCAGCGGCAGCGAGAGCGCCGACCCGCGGGGGCGAGCTGTGCCCCCGTTCAAGAAAAGCGGTTGCGGTGGCGACGGCGGTCGTGGACGGCAGGGCCGCCGGCTTTGGGGACGACGCTTTCGGCGGAAGGCGTGAGACCCTCTGATGCTGCTGCTGCTGCTGCTGCTGTTTCTCGCGCAACCTCCTGCCGCTGCCGCCCCCGCGTCGGCCCGACGCCCGTGTCAGCAGGGTCGACATCGGCGACAGCTGGTACAGCTGCTCCTCGGCAGGCGGGGCGGGAAACCCCTCCAGAGACAACGGCGACGACGACGAGGGCTTGAGCGGAGTGCCGGAGGCCTCCCGGCGGCCTCCGCCGTCCCCGCCAGCAACGAGGTGTCTGCTGCTGCCGTTGCCGCCGCCGCTGCCGCCACCCGCCCCCCCTGCAGTAGACAGGACGGGCGGCATGGCACCCAAGGGAGGAACAGGGGTCTGCCCGTGCCCTCTCGCGACCATTCTCGGAATCTCGGCCTGGACGTGCGACGGGCACGGTAAGGAAAAAAAAAAAACTCTCGCATTCACGCGTGATTCCGTAGCAATCATTGCAATCATGGAGAGGACCTTCACAGGCATCCTTACAGCGGTTGCTGAGTATGTGGGCGATTTATTGGTGGGCAGACCAAGGAAGGGGGAGAGCGAGAGGCAGCGATTGCAAAAATGGTGACATGGCAAAGGGAGCACTACTGCAAGAGAGGGGCGAATGTGTTCACGCAACGAAAAAACAACCGATTTCTTCCAGCAACACGCAGAAGCGTCCCACAGGAATACACCGCACACCGCACCCTTGTCAGAGCGCCTATCTCTCCGGCCTGTAGCCCAACATCGCGCAACCAACATTTGCCTCTTCACTCTACCCGCAATCTCTTCGTAATACGCCCGGCCGGCGCCCCCCCCCGTCACCTCTTGCCGACGCCTCCTGAACAGAGCCCACTTCAGCCGCGAAAACTCGAGCTCAATCTCCTGCTCGCCTCGATTCTCGCTTTGCGACCCCAGACCCTCCTCTTTCCCGGCACCGCCGCTACCGCCGACCCCGGTTGCCCCCTTGACCTTCCCACGGACGCCTGGCGGGCCCCGACTCCCGGGGATGCTGGCACCACCGTTGCCCCCGCCCCCGTACCCCTTCCGGCGATGACGGCGGCCGTCCGGACGCTTGTCGGCAGCGTTGCCGCCGCTGTTGGCTCCGCTTCCGCCGCCTGCCCCGGTCGCTGTCAAGGGCCCCGACAGCGAAACGCCTCCTGAAGCCGCCGCCGCCGCCGCCGCGGCTGCGTCCTCTCCTGCCGTAGAGGCGATAAACGGGGCCAGCGCTATCTCTTTTCGTCGCCGTTTCGTGCCGGATGGGGGCAGCAGCATCGCCAGCAGCGACGGCGGTTGCGCGGCGGTCGCCACGCCTTTCCTACTGCCGATAGCGGCGGCGTTGGGCCGCGGCAGCAGCCCGCCGCCACCGCCGCCGCCGCCGCCAACCAAGTCCCCTTCGTCATCGTCTTCCCCTACTACATGGAGCCGTCCGTGCTCATCGTCCGTGGCGTCTTTGCCGATGACCTGGATAAACCGTTTTCGGAAAAAACATGCACAAAAAAGAGAAAAAAATAAAGAAACAACGAAAATAGTTCTCACTGCACAAAAGACCTTCAGCACGCACCCTTCGACTGTGGTTTTTCCTCGAACGGCTATTGTATGTGTATTTTCCAAAAATGGGAGGGGAACCAAAAGTAACGTCTGCCTCACACACGTTCATGGCCGAAAAAAAAAAAAAGTGCGACCTCGCGCCTGACGCCCTGGCCAACTCGGCGAAAAAAAAAAAAACATGACAAAACTGTAGTTACAGCATCGTGCAACAGGGGCACCCTGTGCAAATCGGTGCTTGCGGCATGTTTTGTGCGGATTCCCGGGCGTCCTCCGCCCGACGCCTTCATTCGTCATCGTTCCCAAACCTGTTGCCATTCCGTCGCCAGTGCCCGGTGCTCCCGTCGTATGTGAGCGAGCTCCGCCGCCGGGTAGACCTCGAGGTTGGACAGTCGCCGCAGTTCGAGGGTGACCTCCTTTTCAGCCCGCAGCACCTTATTTTTATGTTTCAGCGTCGCCGCAGCGTCCATAGCACGACAGGCGGCAGCAGTTTAGTTGTACAAAAAGGAGTTGGAGTACCACCGGGTCTACATGCGGTACGCAGTATTGGTCGTGATTTTGTTGTGACGATTTTCGCGCGTATCGACCATCGCACGACAGGCGGCAGCAGTTTAGCTAAGCATTCAACTGCCTCGGAGTTGGAATGCCACCTGGATGACACGGGATATTATTGTACACTTGGTACGGAATGGGCGTCCTCGCCAGGAACCAGAAATAAGGATCGGTCTGACTTTTCGTCCGCAAGGCGAACGAAGAATGACACCAATAGCAGTAGTCCCTGCTGTGGCATGTTCAAGTTGTCTCAAGTTCTAAACAGCGCGCGGTGCGGCCTTACAAGTACAGGGACCGCTACTGAAAATGTCGTGTGAAGAAACCAACACCCGCAACGACCGGACACAGCATCATCGACTCCAAGCCCCCGCTGCTGAGTTCTGCTGTACTCCCGCTCGCTCGCTCACAACGACGAAAAAAACACATACAGACACACATAAAGCGTCCCGCATGGCGCGGTCAATGCGAAAAAACAACAAAAACACACTAAATACCTTTTCTGCCCAGCGTGTGTCCGCCTCCAGCTTACGGTCGGCAGCCTTTACTTCCTCAGGATCTGCCCACCTGGCCCATTCCGGCTGGATCTCTTGCTGCTGCTGCTGCTGCTGCTGCTGCTGCTGTTGCGATCTGCCAGCAAGGGCAAAAAAAGGCACCACGCTGCTGTTTTCAGTAGCGAAGTTTCGCAAGGATAATAACTTGGTTTTAATAGGGGTTAGGGGTTGGGGTTAGGGTTAGGGTTGCGAAACCCCCCTGTCAATTTCGCAACGCTTAGTGTCCTCGCGAAGGCTGTCCCGGAGATCTCGGAGACCTAGTAGGCTTCGACAGGATATTAAGCCTCGTTTCAGTAGGGGGCGCGCGGTTGGGGTCAGGGTTACGAAACCCCCCTCTTCATTCACACGTTAAAGCTTCGTATCCTCTCCAAGGCAGTCCCAGCACGCCAAAGAATCGTCAAAATAAAAGTAGCCGAAACTACAGTGAGGGGCCATGAAGCCATGAAATGAAGCCTGGGTTAGCCAGGGGCGAGGGTGCGGGGGTTGGCCGCTACAGTGTGCCGCTCAGAGTGCGGTTCTTGACACACTGAAGTTTCGACTGTACCGGACATGGGTGTGATGATCTTGTGTGCTTTTGAACCAGCTGGTTGTCCGAGGATAGCAGGACGGCACTGATAATGTCAGCGACAACGAAATTTGGCAGACCCCTTCTGCGTCATCCCACCCTGAACCGTTTCCGGTGCACCCCCGCTCCCCCGCAGAAAATTCTGCGCGGCCCTCAAGACCGGACTGCGACACCGCCCACGCGATGCGAGTGGCGTGGTAAAAGGGGCGCAAGCAGCCCAGAGGTCCCGATCAGGTAGAGAGCACGAGATGACGCCGCCTACTCCGACTTGGTTCATTCAAGGAGACAACGTAGGCGACGAAAGATTTCACACCCCCTGGGCCATTCTCAAATCTCGAATACTCCACACAGCTCAGAGGCTGACGGTGCCTGAAAAAAGGCGGCGCTGGAACTGTCTCATCGAGAGCTTTGCGTCAACGCATCGTCTGATTTGTACATCCTCGCCGTCGTGGAGAACGTGGCCTTTGAAAATCGATCGGCGGTACCCACTGCAGTCTGACCTTTCCTACATTCTTGTTTAGCGACCTCGGGTGTACTTTTTCTCATGGCGTCAATAGCTTCGCCTGGATACTTCGTCTGGATTCTCATTTTCTTCGCGCACGCTGCAATGTATTTCGCCCTTGGTGCAGCATCTTGGCAAGACAAAAAACAAACACGTCTTCTGCTGTTCAATTCCCTTTTCTCTCGTGCACCAATGCCCTTCCACCCACCCTCGTCGCCCTGGAGCCCTAGCCTCCGCCGCCGCCCGCCGACAAAACATGGCGATGGTCGTCCCGAGCTTGCCGTTCAGCAGCTCCGCCAGGAGCGGCGACATGGACCTCATGACGGACAGCTCTCCCTCCCCGCCGCCGTCAACGGCGGAGAGCGCCGCCACCACACGAGCGGTGCCGGCTTCTGTCGCCGCCGGTGCCGCCGCCGCCGCCGCGGCTGCGCGTCGCTTTCTTAGGGAGGACCGCCGCTTGGGACCCGACCCCGGGGGAAGGAAGCGGAAGGCGTCGCTCACCCCGCCGGTCTGTCCCATGGATGGATGGCAATCGGAGTTCCGGTGGGGCGGAATTGGTCATGTTAGATTGTGGCGGCCACGGCACGGGTAGTTTCAGGGTTCAATTCGATTTCAATGCTTGGCGTTGACTAGAGCGTAAATGCAGCAACATTTTGATGGGGCGGAATCGGTGATTATAGATAGATCGTTGATGATTTTGGCGGGGGCGGAATCGGTCAGTAAAGTCAAGTCGGTGGGAAGCAGCTGAGGCAGGGTTTAGGGCTCCAACTACGCTGTCCTGTACTCCCGTGGAAGAAACGCCGGTCTCGTATTCATCCCGAAACTCTAACGGATCCCCCAAGACCTAGGCTCAGATTCCAGAGCCTATTGACGGATGGGTCAACACAGAACGGGAAACGAAAAGGGCCTGATCACAACACGAAATCGGTCATCTACCGTTAAACTACTCGGATCTCAAAGGTCCCTCCATGGCCAGGGCATTCCAAGGACCTCGGTAGGGGTTCACCACGAGGCGTACAGACCAAAGAAGGGTACAGCAGTAGCCAGTGGCTCACCCTAATTGTACGGGCACAGTAGAGTGGTGGGGTGTTCACGCATGTGCAGGGACAGATGTCTGGGTGCACATGCTACACCGCACGTAGGAACCTCCAAGTATTATTCTTGGCCAAAGCTAAGGCTCTTCGTGCCTACCGTGGGCTACGAACGGTCGCAATAACAGGTTTCAATGCAGGGCTTCGTGACCGGGCTCACAAACTTGCTAAATCAAAACTCGTATATTTGATACGTACAATGTTGAGCATGGAGTTCGTCACCGCCAACTTCCCAAGTGCGGGCGGTCTATCTGTACGTGTCTCGGCGTACCTTTGCGGCCTTGCCGTCCAGAAAACGTTTCAGCTCCAGGTGCACCGGGCAGAGGGGGCTGTCTCATCCGTGTGGCGGCGGCAAGGGACGACGCGGGTTGGAGTTCTCGGTGACGTCGCGTGACAGGCTAAGAAGAACAGATAAGAAGATTCTACGTTGTGGATCAGCACGCACCGTTTTGTTGCCTTGTCTTTCACAAACGCGGCGTGCGAGGTTCAGCAATACGTTTCACACCAGCAACGTCGACGAGACCATGCCAAAACCTTTTAGAATACACCACACACATCACGACGGCCATGTACAATACAAAAACCCAGGCCCGGTGATTTTTTGAGCAGCGCCCGTAAACCTCACAACAACACGATAGATGGGGCCGAGAAAGCGCGAGAGCGGAATAGCAAAAATCTCCCAGGTGAATAGCTAGCTCACCCAGCAACGGCATCCGCAAGACAGGCCCTCCACCCGCAAACTCGTCGCGGCATCTCACTGCCCGCTCCTCCTCCTCCTCCTCGGGCTCCCCCTGTTCCACCCACCACCACCGCCCCGTCACCGTTCCCACACCCAGCCACAGCAGCCGCCGCACCACACTGACCGCGGTCTTGAACGGCACCGAACGACGACAACGACGAGCCTGTTGCCGTTACCGGGGTTTCCAGCTGCAAGATGAGAGCCGACGCTCCCGACAAAGGAGTCTGACCCCTGCCGCCGCCGCCGGCGCGGGCTTTGTTGGTAGTAGCGCTCTGCCCGTTGCCGCCCCCGCTACCGCCGCTGCCCGCCGCGGACGAAAACGGCGACGGTGGTTGCGCCAGGGGCGGGGCTAGCACGGCGACGTACGTGTGGCGGAACGGTGCGCGGAGAGACGACGATATCGGCGCGTCCGCCCCGGAGTCGGCCGTCGAGCAAAGCGGGGTCCGGCGGCGGCGAGCACTCCAGGCCGCCTCCGCGTCGTCTTCGACGTTGTCGGCAGGAACCTCTCCGCCGCTACTAGTAGGCCCACCGTCGGCGCCCTCAACACCGTCGCCGGGACACGACGGGGCCGCCGGCCGCGTGCCAGTCCGGCCGATTCCGACCGGCGGGGCGCTGCTGCTCGTGGGCGGTTCGTCCGGGAGCACGTCGACCGCGGACGGTGGCGTCGCCGCAAGGTTAGCCCGGTCTCCGCCGCCAGCACCGCTACACCCGCCACCCTCGCCGGGGCTTCCTTCTTCACGCCCGGGCTGGCCTCCGCTGCTCCAACGCCGGCTCTCGGTATGGCCGCCGTCGTCCGTCCCGGCGTCGTCCTCGCAGCCGCTTCGGACGACGCCGCGGTCTCGAGCCGTCAACGGTGTTGGCGGAGGCGGTGGTGGTGCCGCGGCGAGCAGCCCCGACGTGCGGCGGCAGCGGCGCCGCCGCCGGACCCCTCCCCCGCCGCTCCCTCCCTCCGCCTCCCCGACCGCCCGGGTCGTGGCCACGTAGATCTGCAGCAGCTCGCGCACCGCTCTCGCGGGGAGGGGCTGCACGAGCGCTCCGAGCAATGGAGGACCCGACCCCGCCGTCAGTGTGTCCTTTCCCGGGCGAGCGGGCGCGAGGGGAACGTAGAGGTGGCCGATCGGTGGGAGCGTTCCGTCCGGAAAGGCCTGGGTCAGGGCGAGCACACGGGCGCGAGCCGGGGGCGGGAGTGCTTTCACGAACTCCCGGCAGTGAGCCGTCCCGAGGAGCTGCCGGACTCCGGCGGGGGCAAAGTGAAGTTGTCGTCGCCGCGGCGGGGTCGGCGGCGTGGCCGTAGCCGCCGCGGCGTTTGCTGTTGACGCTCCTGCTGCTGGTGGTACTGGGCTCGAGCCGCTACCGCTGAGGCCACCGCGCTCCCCTCCCGACGCCAGCGTTTCGCGGGAAGAGTGGTCTCCGATCCGGCGATTGTCATGGTCTCCTATTGGTCTTTCCGCTCCGGGTCCGGCAACAAGAACATCCGGGACGGAGGCGAGGGCTTCCAGGCGGCGGTCGTCATCGGCGCTGCCGCCATCAGGCGCTGCCTTCAACCGCCCCCGCTTCCGGTGGTCGTCGACGGTGCCGCTCACCACAAAGGACGGGGCCGACGCGCACCCTCCCTCCCCGCCGCCTACGAACGCTCCCCAGAAGCTGCCGCCGAGTTGTTCGTCGCCGCCTCGTACTCCTGCTACCGTTTCTTTTTCTTCTGCCGACGCGGTCGCTTGGTTCGCGCGCAGCAGGCCTTCACCCCCCACGTGTTTTGGGGTTACTAGACGATCGCTTTGTGTGGAACCCTCCTCCCGCTCCAATACACGGGAAACCCCCGCGTTACCGCCAGAGGAAGGGGGCTTCGGGCGAAGGTACGTCTCTGCGAGCATCGCCGACACACTCTTCGCGAAGACCGACGCCGCGGTCCTGTCGTTCCCGCTGCCGGCGTTACCGGCGCCCTCCATGTACTTCTCCTGCCCACCACCCCCTTTCCGGTCGGCGTGCCCCCCCCCTGCCCCATCGCACGCCGCGTCACCCCCGCCTACCGCCGACTGCGGCGGCGGGCTTCCTTCGTCGCGCTCGGTAGTCGTCGCTACGGGATAGGGGGAGAAAGACGGGAGTTCTCTCTCTCCCCGTCGTCGCCACCGTGAAGCCTCCCATTCGGCCTCCTCCAGGCAGTAGTACACGCGAGATCCCACCGGCGCCGCGCCGATCCAGGCCACCTCCCGATCGAGATCTCGCCGCCGGTCGCCGCCGCCGCCGCCGCCGCCGCCGATGCTGCTGCCGCGGCCACCGCTGCGAGCTCGGGCTTCGGCACCACACCCACCACCCCCTGTAGTAGCAGTAGCAGCAGCCCAGCCCCCTGATATCCCACCCCCCGTGCTGTCTGCGGCAGATCGCGGCGATCCATCTTCCCTTGCCTCTTCTCCTGCTGCTCCGCTGCTAGCGTCGGCGCTGCCACCACCACCACCGCCGCCCCTTCTTCGACACGGATGGCCGTCGTGGACGGCGTTCGTGTCAAACGGAGGCCGCAGCGTCCACAAGAGGTGAGACGAGCTCAGCAGCAATCCGGGCTCCGCCTCCACCACCGTACACTGGGTACCACAGCCGCTGCCGCTGCCGCTGCCGCTGCCGCTGCCGCTGCCGCTGCCGCCGCCGCCGCCTTCCCGTCCCGTCCTCTTTGCGCTGCTACTCCCCTTACAGGAAGCCGGCGACCCTTTCCCGACGGCGGCAGCGTCCGGCGGCCCGACAACCGCCGACCATCTTCTCGGCCCCCCGGGAATCGACCGAAACGCCACACGGTCACCACCGCTGCTGCCATGACTCCGGCTCTCGGAAACCGCGGCGTCGTCGTCGTCATCCTTGCAAGGCAGCAGCGCAGTAGCCAGGCCGCCGTTCGCGCAGAGAACGGCCCTGCGGACGACGTCGGCTACGGCCGGGGGAGAGGTCCCCGCGGGGACGGCGAGAACCGCCGCCGCGGAGGCGGAGACGTTCTCACCCCCGGCCTTCTTGCTTTGCACCGCCGCCTCGCGCAGCGCCCTGACAACATCGCCGCCGCCGCCGCCGCCGCCGCCGCCGGCCACCCTGCCATCCCCTCGGCGCTGCCCGCCGTGCGACAACGCGCGCCCACCCCCGTTGTCGTCGACCGTACCCGGTCCAAAGCCTCTCGAACGGCGGCGGTGGCTGTCAGCACTAGTGCTGCCCGGGCCGCCGCCGCCGCCGCCGCCGTGGCACGGGGACAAGGCCACAACGCGGAGAACGCGAGCGTCACCAAACCCCCGCGAGGCTAGCAGAGGCGTCACGAGCGAGGCCACCTTCGTCGCCGCGGCGGCGGCGGCCGCGTCGCCGCCTCGAGCGGCAACGGAGGTCGGTTGCGGCGGGTCTCCGGCGGCGGTCGTGATTGCCGTCGGATTTCCCAAGTCCCGCGCTACGATCAGCCCGAGCGAGTCTTCCTCGAGCCTCGAGCAGAACCGAAACCACCTATAGAGGGTGGGGGGGGTTGCGCCCAATAGGCACGGGTAGCAGGATGAGAGAAGCAGGCGAGGACGCCATTTCGCGTTGTGGCAGACGTAGACATGAGCGACAAAGTACACCCTTTTCACCACACACACAGATGGCCTTTAGAAGCAGTGTCTGTTTTCAGCCGCAACGGTAATGACCTGCTTTCATTGGTCAGCCGGTTAGTGCGGTTAAAATCCTAACAACAAAAAACACACACACACACACACCTTAGGTCGAGGATCTTGCCGGCGAGAACGGAGTCGCACGCCTCCGCCGAGAGCCTGCGGCGCCGGGCCCCTCTCAGCCTCGCCTTCTCGTACTCCCCCACACACTCGTGCAGCAGCTCTTGAAGGCGGCGCGTCGAATCCGCACTTTGTAGAAGGAGCCTGTGGTCGGTCGCAAAAAGCGGGGACCGCCGGTGGGCAAGAGGGTATTGTTGGCCATGGAGGGAGGGGGCTATGTACAAGCCGTCGGTGGTTGAAGATTTCGTCGCGATTGGAAGTTGATGAGACGAAAATAACGGTCACCGATTGGAATGAGCACGCGCCTACAACGACAAAGTTTGGGGCGAGGCCGCTTGTGGGCTACGGGACGTCCATGCCAACAGGATTCCATCCCTGGAAAGGCTGATAGTAGACATAAGCTCTGTGGTGGATATATTTGCGGGGTGTGTTCCTTGTGTGCGGGGACCCTTCCAGTTCTGGGCGTGGTGTCACTCTCTCTGTTTCTCATCAGAGTGTCATTGATCACTTAAGCCTCTGCCATCAGGGACAAACGTCCTGACGGCATGAACACTTGCCCAAGGCAAGTTATTCATACGACGGGTGCTGGAGGCAGTGTAACGGTTACACCGACAAGACAAATTCGTTGCGCGAGACGACGGGCTTGGTGTCGGTGGGCCTTCATTTTCAACCTACACTCCCGACCTCTCCCTCGCCGCTGCCAACAAACCAACTCGCCACCCTCACCTTCTAGTTTTGGCGAGGCTCTGCGCGCGAGCCTGCGCCAGCCTGCACTCTGCCAGGTGCCCGAAGGCGTCGCGCCGGGCAACCATGTGTGCCAGGCGCGCTCGGCGGGCCATGTCTGCGTGCTGCCGTCGCTCGCTTAGATCTCGAAGGGTTTCCTCTGCATTTTTCTGGCGTGTGTTGACGGGGGGGGGGGGCGAGGGTACTCATGTTTTGCATGCCATGGCGGTTAAACCAAAAACTACGGGGGTGGGGGTGGGGCGGGTACTCATGTTTCGCATGCCTTAGCGGTTAGACCATTGACCACGCGTCCTCGAGCATTGTTTCCACAGGACCGATCATCGATGGCCAACCGCTCCTTCCGGGGCAAGGATTAAAGGGGTGTGTGTGGAAATCATGTAGTCTCGAGCCCGGTTCGTTTGTGGCCATGAACCTGAGCTGAGATGGAACGAACCTCCTGTAACGTTTGAAAGAGCATCGCCCAACGATTCAAAGCACATTCACATATTCATCGGTTGTGCCGCATGCTCTCGAAGTTCTCGGAAGAAGGGGAGAGGTTGTAATGGCGATGGGAGCAAGGTGAAGGGTGCGTCCGGGGTGCACGCCGAAAAGGATTTTCAAATGCAGCATTGGCCAAGGGTATTCTCGCGGTTTTTTTCTCTGAGGGCAGATCTGGATGCTAATGTTGAGGGACGCTGAGATGTGGCCGTCCTCAACGCCGATCCCGGTGAGGACCATGAATACGGATTGCGCGCCCGCGCTTACGAAGTTGGCAGCCAAGAAGAAACGCTCCACAAAATATCTAAACTAAGAACTTGAGCATCATTTGTGAGCCCGGGTAGGAATCTCTACACTAAATTACGGTCAAATCTCTCGAGCAGCCAATAGTAGCCAACAAGAGGAGCTACAGCAGTATTGAAAGAACACCAGCTTCGGCAAAAATTGGAGGTTCGTAAGTGCGGGCGCTATCTCTAGTTCCTGCATAGAAAAAACTTGGCCATGATGACCAGTGGTCAAGTCAGACTGCTGCTGTGGTATAATCATCCTCGCTGGGACCGGTAACATCACCCGGTCGCCGGGAGACCGGCCGGCGTTCACGTGCCGCTTTAAGGAGAGGTGTTCCTTGAAGGACGTCGCTTGCGGGAAAGAGGGTCAGCACGCGAAACAACAATGCCGATGCTATGTACGGCGTGTTTGGTTCCACACTGCTTGTCCTATTATAGCCAAAGAGCAAAGAGCGGTATTCGTGTGGGTGTGTACAAGTACAGTTTAGTCTCCTGAGCAAAAATGTTTGTGTCCATCTCTATTATACTTGCATATATCTCGATGTCTCCACACACCCACCATTGGCGCGATAGGGGCGAACTGGAAACGACCGCTGAAAAAAGCAACAGTTTCAAACCTCATGCATGCACAACACAGAGTGCAGCCATCGACTCAGAACCTACTTGTAATGAAGTACTTGAGCACATACATACCGCGGCCACGGATCCATGTTGGAGGGGGACATGGATCCATGTGAAATCCAAACGGTTGTTTCGCACACAATTTCAAAAAAAATCTTAATCTTCACGCAGGAGTTATGGGAAAAACACAGCTGCAGCCTCTTTGACACACGCACCTCTATCGCGTTGTGCAGAACAGTCTCGTGGGCACTACTATGAACCCGCCCCCCTCGCCTTGCTCCTGCAGCGCTCGTCAGCACCCTCCGCGCCTTCGCTTGCCCGAGCACAGCACATCCCGCCGCACCCAAGTTACTGCTCGAGCCCGCAGGGCAGCCATTCTCAACCACCGCGCCCATCGCGCATCTTGTGGCTGGATCTGTACGCTGGGCGACAGCAGCACCCGCCGCCACGGCCACCGGCGGTGTTTTCCGTGCTGTAACAGCAGCACCGGCGCGTGATGAGGTGGATTGGCGGACGTTGGTATCGTCAGTTGTGCTGATGCTGATGCTGCTGCTGCTGCTGCTGCTGCTGGAGAGCCGATGGGACGATTCCTCACCCAGCGCTCGCCGCACGGAAGCAAACAAGGTGTCGATGGTGTCGTGCCCGACATCCATGCGCCTTTGTGCCGGACAGACACACGCGCTAGGCCGTTGTGCACAACACAACTAACTGTAACGTGTCGGCTGAGTGTGGTTGGGTTTGTTCAGCTGTTCAGCCCCAGAGGCTCCGTCATGTGAAAATCACCCCCCCCCTATGTTTCCCGGATTGGGGACCCTCCAGCGCCAACCGTGGTGTTGTGCCATGTGCCATGCACATCGGATGCCCTGGGAGGAAGAGAGGGGCTCGAAGCGCGGTGAGACATAGAGTCGAGTGGAGCAGTTGGCTGTGGTGGCCTTGATAATGGAAAGCTCAGGTTTTGAAGGAGCGAGTTCAACGAGAATGCCGCCCTCTCTTGTGTCACTGGACGTTTGAATTTTCATCGTACTCTTGAGGATGCGGAGGCGGCGCGTTTGTGTGTACTGCTGTACGTGCTTCTTGCTCTCTCGCGGGAGCGGTGCCTGGTTTGGTGGATCAAAAGGCGGCCGTCGTGTCGTGCTGCGGAGTTTCTCGGTCTTGTTTTTTTGCTCTGGGGTGTCATGCGTAGGTCGTTGCGCTTCCGTCGAATCCGAAAAAGATTGCTGCAAACGGCTGCGCCGGTGGCCTTGTCTGTTTCTCGCGTACCACTGTAGGTTGTTCACCTCCCTTTCACATGTGCAACAGCAGCAATATAGCCAGCCGGTGTGAATCCACACCAGCCCAGCAGGCAGGCATGGCATTTCGGGCTGTGTTGCAACCCGATACAGCACTTGTTGTCGGTTCAGTCCCATCGCCACAGCGCTATCGAAAAATCTTTGAACACCATAGTTGACACCTCAGGTACAACGGCGAAACACCGACTTGGATGCCAGGTGTGAGATGTGAGACGAAAGGGAGGGTGCTGCGGCATGTAGGTAGATACACCTATCGTTGGGCAGGTGTGGATCGAGATCTATCGCTCTGGCTCTTCTCTGCACACCCGCGGTTGCTTGTACCCCGTAAGAGATGTCTCTCTTTCGAAACCCGCCCTTTGCTGTTGTCACACCTCCCTTGGCTGCTGCTGCTCTGGCTGTTGGCTGTTGTTGTGGTGAATACATCAAAGTATCCATCGTTTGTTTCATCCCGACAAGCAGGTGGTGACTCGTGTCCACGAGCGAAAGGGAAAACACGTGAACGAACGCAACCTCTACTGCAAGAAAGGCTGCCGCCGCTCGCTGAACGTTGCAGCGATCATCCCGTCGGGAGGAGCTGTCGGTGTGGGGAGAAGAGGGGGTGGGGTGAATAGCGTAGCGACGTGGTAAATCACCTGCTTGAAGACCCCGGCGGGGGAGCCTTGGAGTAGGAGGGGTCCACGCAGCTGGGAGGGCACCGTCTCCTTGTTTCCAGATCGTTAGGAGAGCGAGAAGCCTTGCCGTCCCGCTTGTTTGGAACCGGTCATCCGGAGCCCCGCTCACGTACCGCCGGACGCACGCATAGTCGGAGCAGTAACGGCTGTCCGTGCGGCAACGGCGAAGATGAGCAGTCTCGCCACGTGCTCGGATGTCATCCGGTTGTGGGACACGGGCGGCGGAGGGGGGGGGGGGCTGGAGCTGAAAAAGACGACCAACGTCGCGGCGGCGGCGACGAATTCCTGCTGCTGGAACCACAACGGTAAGGATATTGTATCTCTCGCGCGCGGCTTGCTGTTTTGTGCGTCCCCTGCTTCTTACGGCCCGCCCCGTTGTAAAGGAGAATCGGGCTTGTGTCGATCAATCCGTCTGCTATTTTTTTTACGCGCGGTTTTTCTTTTTTTCTTTTGTCAGAGCTGACAAAGCGTTTCTCCTGCCCGGCCCACACCTGCAGTGTTATATTGCAGTGTCGTTCCTATGCACATTATTGTTGCCCACCGACTCTTCGTGCGTGTTTTATCATTTTATTTTTTGCCGTCCATACCTAAAGTATTCCCTGAATACCCACCCCTCTGTGTTTTTCGTTTCGGTCTTTTTGTCTGGCTCGCGGTGTGCACGTGGAACTCAACTCAACACCAGGGCAAGTCGTAGCCACGGCGGGAGACAATGGCTCCATCACCGTGCTCAAGCTCAGCGGCTCCATAGTGCCAGCGGGAGTTCTCAGCGCGCACGAGGTGCCCCTTTTTTCTTCCCGTTTGGTTGCCGCATGGCAGCGGTCATGGCGGTAGATAGATAGCAGTCTTGGTGATGGGGATTCAGGGGTGCTTTCCGCCCGTTCTTTCGTTCCGCACTCGTGCGTGAGACGAATCAGCCCGCTCTTGGCGATATTCATGCATCTCTCGCACCCCCTACCCCGTCGTGCCGACCATTCTTGTTTTCTGTGTCGTTTGTTACAAGGCCCTCGGTGCTTGGTGGGGTCTTCTTAGTCTGCCTGTTTTTTCATCGTTGTCGTAGGGCTGGTGCCTGTCCCGCCGGCAGGTGATGCCTGGAATTATTGTTTTTTATCTGCCAACCTGCCTACCTACCTGTTGGTCTTTGTTTTTCTCTTTAATCCCTCCCTCCCTCTCCACCCCTATCTGCCTGTCTCTCTCTCACCTCCCTCCCCTCCCCACCCCTATCTGCCTGTCTCTCTCTCACCTCTTTCTCTCTCTCTCTCTTTCTCTCTCTCTGTCTGTCTACCCCCCCACCCCCTTTTTGACGGCGTATCTTGTCGTGTGGCGGGACGTTGCCTCGTGCCTATTCCGTATTTTTTTTCCGCCGCTGGTACTACAGAAAGCAATTCGGGGAATCACCTTCAGCTCCAAGTCGCGAAAGTTGGCAGCGGGAGGTGACGCGGGAGTCGTCGAGGTGGGTACATTCATTTCTCAATCGTACACGGGGCCCCTTAGCTGTTACCGCTTGGGCTTCAGCCTCGCAATGCGGCGAGACGATAATCGCCTGCCCTGGCATGGACTGCCTGGGTGATGTCGTGTTGCTTTATTTCTACTGTTTCAAACGGTTTCCAACAGCTTGGCGGCGAGACTGAGCGCAGGGTAATGAACGGGGTATTTTGAGGACGCGGCGAGTCCGTTGCGGGTGGTGTGGTTTTCACGTGTCTTTTCGACGATCCCGCTGTCATCACCTCCATCTCCGCACCCCTATCCATATCCAAATCCACAAGACTTGTTCAGATCCGAGTTAATTTCTCTTTGGTTCGTTCAGGTTCGCTGGGCTTTCGAGTCGAAACACGTCTGCGGTTATCAGCTGTTGAGCAAGAAACGTCACAACTTGCAGCTGGCAGCCAGCTATGGGCTGGTCTTGCCTGCCTATTTTTTTTACTTCATCTTGCATCCACCCCCCCTTGATGGCACTGCTGTGTTCTCATGATACCACCCCAGAGGGATCCCTTGTGTTGTTCTCCACCGTCGTCTTGATGTGTCGCTTGCCGTTGCTTCTTCTTCCGCTACTGCTGTTGGCATATCAGGTCTGGGACCTGAAGCGCAACAACAGCAGGGTCACCATGCGGGGGCACCGCGGACCGGTGACGTGCGTCTCCTTCTTCGACCGCGACTCTTGCGTGGCGGCGGGGGACGAGCGGGGGAAGGTCATCCTGCACCGAGTCGCGGACGCGCCTTCCGACGACGAGGTGAAGGGGGGGGGGGGGGGGGAGGCACACCGGATGGGAAGTGTTGGCAATGCTCGCTCACGCTTGTAGATACCATTCCCTCGTTGTAGACCGACCATCACCAATCACTAGAATTTTCGCTGCAGAACGACAACGCCGACGACGACTGACAAATGCGGACTAGCGTGCGCCAAGGAAGAGGCCAGACCAACAAGCCCACCCCCATGCCCTCGGTCCGCTGCTCATCATCAATCATACCCGCAACAATAGGTGTAATGCGAAACATCGCCTGGAAAGGAGGAGACCAGACCACTCCCATCCCCTTATGCCCTCCGCCCATGCTCCGTACTCTCGAGGACGCGTGGACGATGCTCCACCCGCAAAGGCATGCAAACCATGAGTACTCCCCACCCCCAACCGCCCACCCCCATATGCCCTCCGTCCACCATACCCTGTAGGCGTCGGCAACCTTGCCCCCGGCGGGAGGGTACTCGAGCGTTACCGGGCTGTCCATGGCCTCCGCCGCCGCCGGCCCCGCAATGTTGGGGGTTTCCTATGCGGATGGCACTGTTCGCCTGTGGGACACGGGGAGTAGGGCGTGCGTGCGGGAGATGCAAACGCAGGTACGTAGGTGATCGTTGGCGGATGGATCATCAGGTGTGCTTTTGTCGAAGGAGGAAGTTGTTGGTAGTGCGGCTGTTGGTGTTGTTGGTGTTATTGGTGTTGGTCCTGTTGCTGCGGCTGTTGTTGCTGTTTGGCCACTTGTGTTGCCGTCGTTGGTGCTACGGCTGGAGGCCCAATATGTACGTGTGTCTTTTTTGGCAAGTGTGGGTTCGGGAAAGGGTGCTCGACCGGTTATTTGTTGTTGGGGTGTAGCTGTTCAATGAAATGATTTGACGACGGTGGTCCGAAGACTCGTCTCACACACATGACGGATTTTGCCGCGCCTCCCCCCCCCAACCACGGGCACATTACACGGGTGCGAGGTCACAGCTGCAGTCTTCCCCCACCCCTTCCCCACGCAGACTGCCGCTTCGCACTCGGCAGAAACGCGTACTGTAGAACGCTGGCATTGTCTCTCTGTGTAAGGAGGCGGACCTGACAGCGGTGCTCCGTCTCGAACGGGATAGTCAGGAATGGTCAACTACCTCCATAGGCAAGAAGAAACTGATGAGTAACCCGCCCCCCCGTCATTTTGACAGCACCGCGGAGCCGCCGCTGGCATAGTGTTCCACCCGCAAAATCCCAACCTAGTGGCGACGGCGGGCCACGACGGTGTTGTTCGTTGCACGGACGTGAGGGTCGGAGAGCGGAAGGATGGTGGAGGCGGCGATGGGGTGTTGAAGTCGATTCAGACAGACGCCCCGCTGACGTGCGTGTCGTTCCATCACGAGGTACGGTTTCTGTTGTTGTTGTTGTTGTTGTTGTTGTTGTTGCTGCTACTGCTGCATAGTGGCCGCATCGTGTTGAGTCGAAAGCTCCTCTGGGCGTGGATTACTCGTCACTTGACCTGCAGCAGCAGCTGCTGCTGCTGCTGCTGCTGCTGCTGCTGCTGCTGCCCGTCTAAAATAGAAACTAAGTTGAGAGGGCAGGCCAGGGCCAAGTGACGGTCTATATCGCTCTCAACGTATTCAGTGCATTTGCCGGGTTTTCTGTTTGCCACAATATTGTCTAATAACTTAGATTTTTTTTGTGTCATGTAGAAAATCATGCGCAAATCGGCACACCGGTATTTTGGAACTCGAACAAATGACACATATCGTTACACAAACATCGAGTTTGTAGTCACTACTACGATGCAATGCAGCGTCCGGTAGGTGCCTGAACTAGGAAAATCCACTATTTTTCTTGTTTGTTTTGGAGGGCTTCGAGGGACGCTTCCCTTTAAGATGACCAAGAACAATATTTCCCGTTTGGTAGATATATCAGTGTGGTCATGTTGGGTGGTCGAGATTCGGTGTGGTGGTAACTTTGACGAATCGTTCTTGTGGCAAGGTGCAAATGAGGCCACGTTGAGAACGTCTTCCTGACTGCTTACAAACAGCGCCCCCAAGAAAATTCCACTCTTGTATGCACACGTCCGTCACGATTTTTCTGTTAACGTTCTTTCTTTCGTGGTTTTGGTTCGTTCAGGGCCTTGCGCTAGCCGCGGGAGCCTCAGACGGCACCGTCCGGCTCGTCGACTTACGCACCGCTCGCGAGGTGGGGGGCCCGCCAAAGAAAGCCTACGCCGGCCCGACCCCCCCGTCAGGCGGGGTTCGAGCCCTGGCCTTCCAACGGCAACCCCCCTCCAGGAGCACCTACGCCGCCGCAACCGCCACCACCGCGCCCGGCGCCGCCGTCGCTGCTAACGGCGGTGGCTCGACGAGCGCTAGAGCTTCATCGTCGTCGTCGTTGTCGTCATCGTCGCGTCCGCGACGCACCGCCGCCGCCGCCGCCGTGGAGGCGATAAATTCGGCACGGCCAACGCGAGTGTCGAACGGCGGTGGAGGAGGCGTTGACGGGGGGGGGCGGGGTTATTTCGGCGAGGGGTCTGGCGGCGGCGGCGGCGAGCGGCGGCGGCCATTGACGACGACACCGGCGGTGGCGACGGAGGTTGCCGGTGTCGGGAACCCGGCGGGGAAGGCGGCGGCGGCGGTGGCGGAGGCGACGCCGTACTTCTCCGTGGGGTCACACGGCGGACCAATCCAGCAGCAGCAGCATCACCACCACCAGCCGGCCGCGGAAAACACGAGCAGTAGCAAAGGCAACGGCGACAGTGCCCCCGGCGCCGGCGCCAACGCCGTTGGAGCCGGAGCTCCAGCGGCTTTGGCATCGTCTTCTCGGCAGCGGCATCAAGACCCGTACGGGGTCCCAAACGAAGCGCCCGCGGGGGTGGGTGGGGGTGGGGCACCGCGGTATGGTAACCAGAGCGTCGCCACCCCCCCGCAGGAGAAGAAGGAGGCACGTTGGGGGGGTGACGATGATCACCGCGGCAGCAGCAACGGTGCTCCGGCGCCGCGCGCGCAAGACTACGTTGATTCTGCTGCGGCGGTAGCGGCGGCGGTTGTCCCAGCAGGGAGGCCTTGGCCCAACAGCAGCAGTCCCGAGCGCGTGGCGGCGGGTTTTGATCGACGGAGGCGGGAAAATGGCGGCAGTCTTGGTGTTGCCGGCGGTGGGATGACTACGGGCGAGGGAGACGAGTGGGACGTCCAGCCTCCTACAACGGCCTACGGCAACAAGAGCGGCGGCGAGTATGACAGGGCGACGGTCTTGTCGACCCCGGACTCGAGGGGGGCGCGGGTGGACGCGGGGGGCGGAGGCGGTAGCGGCCGCGGGACTCGCATGAACGGTGACAGCAGAGCAGGGAGTGGTGTGTTTTCGTCTCCTTCGGGGGCCCCGAGAAAACCGGCGATGCACTCCGGTGGTCCATCTACAGCTGGGGGAGTGGGGCGGACAGGGGCGGCGGTGGTAGCAGGGGATGGAGAGGCGATCGTGCGGCGAGAGCCAAGGGGGGAGGAGGAAGGTGCTGCGCCGACGGCTGGTGGTGGGCAAGTGGTTTCGCTGGATAGGTGCGTACTTGGAGGGCTTACTGTTCTAAGTCGGTGTGAGGTAGGAAGAGCGTCTCAGCTTGTCGGGTGTCCTGTCTGGTGTTGGGGGCGGCGAGAGGGCGGAGGAGGGAACTTATTTCCACGTGACGCCGCTGTTGGGGTGTTGGCTTGCTTGTGCGAGGGGGGTGGGGCGGAATGCTGCTCTGCATGCCATGCCCTGCGATGTCCCGTTAATCGCCCCCCGCCGCTAGCCCAACTTGTGGTGTTGTCCCTCTCTCTCGTTGACATCCTGCTTGTGTCTATTGATCCCCAGGACCGTTTTGTCACACACGTCTCTCCTCCCCGCCAGTGTAGTCGATGTTCTTGCTGGACCAGCCCCTTGATTGTTCACGATTCGACTTGCTTCGTTGTCATGGTGGCAGGTCGGTGCTGGAGCAGGTGTTGTCAAACCACGTGTCGGGGCTGCGAGAGGAACTGCGGCAAGAGCTACGCAATCTTCACGTGGACATGCTCCGTCAGTTTCACTCTCTCCAGGTACTTTTTTTTTTTAGGGGACAGACCTCAGCCGAGGGATCCCGGTATCCGATCCGGTTTGGGGTGACCCCACTTCACCCGAGTTGTCCGCTTGTGTGTGCTTTTTTGTTTTCGCGGTCATGTGTGGACTCCTTGGTTTTTACCGATGTCACACAAGCGGGAGGCAACGGGTCTTTTTAGGGTGACCTCCGCAAGAGACGGCTTGAGTTCCTCCTCATCGAGGGATTCTGAAGCCAAAATTCACCGTTTTTTTCACCGGTCTCGTCTTGCAACCGTAACCGTTGCAACAGCAACGCAGTAGACAGCAGTGCGCCAGAGACGCGAGACAGCAGCACGGAGTGCGGGAACACAACCAACAGCACCGTGCAACGGCGGTGCTCAGGCGTTGAGCGTCCCCTAGATGTGCGGTGCACAAGTGCTGCGGACGTTTTTATTCTCTTACGAACACCACATGCCTACAACAGCGGCACACTTTCTTCAATTCAAATTGGCCACCTACTGGTGTACGCCTGCAGCAGTGTAGCAGTTTTTTTGTACGGACGACGACGCAATGCCTTCCTTTGCTGAGCAAATGAATGCAACAGTTCATGTTTTTTTTTTTTCTCGTAATTTTGTGCGTCTCTGCTGTCTCTCGTCTCGCTTTGTCACGGACACAGCACGTGTATACAACATGTTATTCTTCTCTCGTAATTTTGTGCGCTTCTGTTGTCCCTCTTGCCGCCTTGTCACGGACACAGGACGTATATACAACATGGTTCGTACCCGTTGTTTTCTTTCGTAATCCTGTGCTTTCCTGCTTTCTCTCTTCTCGCTTTGTCACGTACACAGGACATGCACACAACACGTTTTTTCTATTGTAATTTTGTGCGTTTCTGCTTTGTATCTTGCTGCTTTGTCACGGACACAGGACGAACAATCGACGGCTCTGTCCGGGTTCGAGGAACGCTTGGGGGGGCTCGTGGCGGAGAACCAGGCCTTACGGGCGGAAAACGATAGACTCAGACGGGTGTATTAAGTAGACTGCTGTGGGTCTTGCTGACGCTGGTGCTGCGGTGGCGACGTAGATTCGAAGGCGGGGAGGGGGGGGGCGTTGTCTTGCTGATGACTGTTGCGGTGGTGGTGTCGACGAGAACGATGGACTCAACATCGGCGTTTCGAAACTGAAGGCCGACGGCGGTTCTCCCGAAGCTTCTCCTGGTATTTCGAGCTGACGGTAGGTAGTGCTCGTGTTTGTCGGTGCTTGAGTGTGGGCGTTCTTATTGGCACTTGGCATCGTGTTGTCTCAACGAACGTGATTCTTTCGTTGGTATCTTACTGCGGACGGGACGAGGGAGGGGTTTCCTAGAGTAGTTGGCCGTGCTCGCTTCTGCCCTTGCCGCCACCACCGCCGTTGTTGCTGCTGCTGCTGCTGCTGAGGTAGACGGACCCGCAAAAACCGGCGTGGTTTTCACTGTCGTATTTGTCGCGTTCTCCCGGGGGGGGGGGGGGGGGGGGACCCTTGGGGCCCCCCCCCCTGGCGCCCGGGTTCCCTAGGGGAAAAGCTGTGTTGTTTTGAAAAAAAAATCCCCCGAAACAAAAATTTCGGGCCCCCGTTTTTTGGTTTTCCCCACCCAAAAAGGTGGGGGGCAAAAGAAAACAAATTTTTTTTTTTTTTGTGGCCCTTTGGGGGGCTCAGCCCCAGACCCCCCCCCCCCCCCCCCC